AAGGCAGCAGATAATTCCTGTTGATTTTAGATTATTTTCCATAATTGTATCATAGGAACTATTATAAAACAGGAGTGAGCAAGTTCCTCTACTAACACAGTCACACAAAAGTATAGACCATGTGATTTCCTTCTCCCGCATTAACTTCATCCACATTTCTGATGCTTCATCGTGCAGTTCACCATGCTGGCACAAACCAGACATAACAGACCACAATCCTATTGTAATTGTCTCTTCTAAGGAGCTATTCCACTAGGATACTTCCACTCCCATTAGATGTGCTTTGTTGCTTCCAGACACCATACGGTTTCAATAGAACCATTACCATAAAAGTGTAAAACTGAATATTGACATTCTCACAGCCCAGACAAGATGTAACTTGCTCTAAAAATTATCAAGAGAGAGCAGTTCATCCTAATAACCTTTACTGGTGTGTCTTAATCCTTCATGAAAAAAATTCCCATTATTACTATTAGAAATCTCAGCAACAGGATCAAATCCCATTCACTTCAAGCATGTGTCATTCCAAAAGATACTTGCAGAATCCAGGTGAGACAGAGCCACATTTGTACCACTGTATTGTCACCATTTTGCACCGTGAGAATGACTACCTGTGTCAGAAGGTACAAATGGTGTAACAGCAGTTAGTCTGACAATGGGCAAAGTCTCACTGGATTAGCTCCATAAAACAAGGCTTTGAAGGAGAAACAGCAAGTGGACCTGAATCTCAGCATTGTCAACACTGATGCAGAGTATGCAGAATGATGTTCAGAACTGCCTACATCAAGAAAAAACCACTAGTGTTATCAGCTTACTTTTCTGAAACTCCTCCAGTTTTTTGACAGCCTCATCTCGTTCTTGCTTGATTTTGTCACACTGTAAGAGAAGAGAAAATTGAAATGAAACACTGGTCCCAGTTATTTAATTAGCAGTCACAACATGCAAAATCAACAAAGATCAATCACCAGCACAGTAACAATAGGGAAGCCTATCAAAGCATCATTTCTTTTTGCTCTCAGTTGTGTAAGATCGATGGAAATTATGCATAAAATATTAACTACCCAGAGTATTTCCTACTTAAACTAGCAAGTTGCACTTGATTTTAGGTTCCAATTCAGAGCTATTCTGAAAATATTTTAGAAGAGACACATTACCCAAAACCGATATAAATAGTCATCCACATTACACCAACAGCAAAAGCAATACTTTGCATGCCAAAAATATGCCTTAAGTCTAGTTTCTTTAACACAAATAGACTTTGAAAAGAGGCCTACATTTCTGCACCTACCATGTGCAAGGAAAAACTCAAAGCCAATAAATGGGGACATGCTGCTTAGTTTCATAACATCATGAGCAAAGCTTCAGTCTTGTAGAGGGGAAGACACTAATTTTCATGCTTTCAAGATTTCCCATCACCCCAGTTTTATTAATTTCTGGGTTAATGCTAACACTACACAGGGCTGCAAACATTGATCTTATGATGGAAAGATTTCTTCAAAGAGAAAAGAATAAAACAGATGTTAAATAGACTTCTGTAAGCAAAGCCCTTCTATACATAAATGAAAGAACTCAAAGGAATGAGTAAACCTTCACAAGAGACACAGTCAGTGATTAACCACATCGTGAAAAACACATGACTTGGGGGGGGAAGTATGACTGGCACACAACGTGTCTCTCACACACAGTGTACCAGACATCCTTCCTCACACGCGGCTGTGCATGTTCACAGTCGTAAATCAACATTAGACCATGAGTTAACTTCTGGAAGAGATCTGTGTGACTGAGCTCCTTACAGACTAACTCAAATTACAAGGATATTGGCTCCTAGACCAGAAGTGGGGGGAAAAAACCCCAACCAAACAACAAAAAACCTGAAATGATTTTGCTCGATTTTCAGTTTTTCCACATGAGGAGCCACTTTGAGTTAGCTGGGAAAGGAGCCTGCTGTTAAGTAACAAGAAGGGGGAGAGACTGATTCAAAGGCAGCCAAATTCAAGAGAATCCTTTTATCGGCTCCAGAGGACCTTGGATGAGGCCCAAATAAGGATCTGCTCTTGGGCAAGATGAGGATGCCATTGGTGTCACCTCAGGGGCAGCCTCCATGCAGCTGATGGCTATCTGTGGGAGCAAAAGGAACGGCACTCAACAAGCAATTTCTCTTCTTGTGGCACTGGAGGGATGAGGCAAGAGACAAAGGCTGAGCAAGGGGGACAGGTCAGTCACCAGCTGCTGTAAGGTCTGTGAAACAAGGCAGAGCTGCAGAAGAAGCAAGACGTGATGAGCAAGTGGCGCCGGACAAGGACTCACCGTTTCATGTGGCCCTGGTAACAAAGAAGCTGTTAAGAGAATCTTGCACAGGAGAGGTGGGGAAGGGAAATCTGTGCATGAATCTTGCTGTTTGCTGCCCTCCCTCTCAGTTTCCTCAGCAAAAACCTGTGTTACCTTGCTGGCAGAAGTGCAGTCTGAGAACAGAAGGCAGTGAAAGACGCAGAAAGTATTTCTGATTGCTCCTCCAGAGCAGTTCCACTGCAAAAGGGGATCAGTGTGAGCTGCTGCCTCTTCACATTTTACAAGAAAGACACTGTAGTCACACTGGCATACTTCTCCCACGGATTTCTCTGCACGCTGCAAGCTTTCAGCCCACTGCACATTAAGTGAGCAAATGCCTTTAATGCTCAGTTTAAAACCCAGGAAGATTAGCATTTTAAGGATCTGTTGCCTGTGGAAGTCAATGACACTTTCTTGCTGATGGAAACCTTGATGTACTCCCTATCTTGAGGTACACTCCCTATCCCACTGACTGGAAAAACTCCTTTTAAAATCCGCCAGCAACATGCTGTAAGGCATAACAGCTTTCCCTGTGCAGTGAAAGGGGAAGTTAAATGACCTACTCCACTTCACCTCGAGTGCTATTTGCAGAGAGCTCCATTTGGACCGTGGCAGGCTGACTATTCTCATAACTGCGACATTTCTCTGCACAATCAGGGTCTCTAGGTTTGGGTCTCTGCAGAGCAATTCCTGCTCCCAGTTGCAGCTTTCTCACTATTTTCCTTTTGCTGCTACTGTGCTTCAGAATGAAAGAGGAGGAAGAAAAGGAGAGTAGGAGATTGTTGCCCTTGCTGAAATGATCAATGGAAAGCACTTTGCCTTCTGTCTTGCAATCAGACTCATGCAAGCAGAGCTGCTACAGGTCCCTCCAAAAAAAACAACAACCCTAGTTTATCCCCTAAGAATTAGAAAAAGTTGAGCATGTCTGTTAACTACTTGCAGTGTTTCAAACTGGAATGTTACGCAAAATACCAAACACTATGATTAAATTTCATAATAAAACCATTGGCACCCTTTAAAATAAATTGACCTTACCTTTAAAACAGTTTAATTTAAAAAATATCAACATTTAGATGCATGAGGTGCTCACAAAAATCTGCAAAAAAGCCTTAAAAATTCACAACCACCTCACTTTACAAAACACCGATTTGAGGCACATGCAGTAGAATTGTTAATTGACAAAAGTATCACTAATCCTAAATTTTAAAAGGCAAAGAGCACAACATAACTATAAAATCTGCTGTTTGCTTTCACATTCAAGCACATGCAACTGTTAAGGAGAAACAACTTCCAAGTATTTCCTAGGTCTCCCCTTGTCAAAATTCAGGGATAGCTCCATACTCAAGAGTACCCTTGACTAAAATAGACAAGTCTGTAACTCCTGAATTGTTGGTCAGTTTTCTGTTCTTAACTTAATTCTGTTAACAGTTCCAGCTTCTCTGCAAAGGAAAATAAGCATTTATACAATTTTATTTAGCATATTTTAATCTAATATTTATAGCACCATTATCTCATCTAAAATAAATAAATAAATAAACAGACAATATTCCAAGTCCTGAACTAGCTACAGAATTTGATGATCTCTTAGCAATAAAAAGGCACTGCATCTGTATTTTCAGAAACAAATTAACAATCCAGTTGCCAAAATTAATTTTGTGAATAACTCCATACAATTTTTCATCTTTGCAGGCTCAAGTTCAGCAGCTTTGTCAATCCCACTCATTTTTATATTTCTGCCTTCTGGGTACACAGGATTTGAGGCAATACTTCAATTTCCAGTAGGGAGAAGTAATATGCTGACTGCTTACAAAGCATGTGTATGTCCAAGCCTGGTGTTCAAACCAAATATTGCTCCTAGAGCCAGGTGAATTAGCAGTACATTAACTCAACCTGTACCTGGAGCCAGGATACACATCATCATGGGAACCTGACACTGCAATGTGATGATGGGAAGCTGATGCACACAACCAGCTGGAAGCCTGTGGACACACAGTCTCCACACATCACTCCCACCAGCCTAATGACTCTCTGCCACTAATTCCAGGGAAGCCTGGGTCTCTTGTCTATTCTCTACTAACAGGCTTCTTTCTTGCCAACTATTTTGCACTAAGCTCCTACTGACTTGAGTAAAAGGCCTTCAAAGGGCAAAAACAAGAAGGAGATTGTTCAGTCCAGATATTAAGATTCAAGAAGTTCACGTAGTAGCCATATAGTCAATTAAGCCATTGCTAAGCAACAAAAGACACAATTATTTCTCCCATTTACATAGATTGTGAAATTTATGCAGATTTAATGCTTGTTCTAAAATTATGAGTTTGGTACAGTGGCTCAAAAGTATCCTATGACATTTTCTATACTCTACTTACAAAAACAATGAGCATGTCATCAAGGCAGAATTCCTTCCCCATTCCCACTTTGTGACAAAACATATAATCCACTCTATACATGTGCTTGAACAGAGCAAACACCATGAATGATGTATCAGAGATACAGTATTACACCTACTGTTTTGGATAGCTGTCTTGCTTTTTTTTTTTCCCCCTACTGGCAGCATGACAAAACACTGTCAAACCCAGCTTTCAGAGTCATTTCTGTCTGATTAGCAAGTAGTCAAATATTTATTCATGATCTGACTCTGAATATGTCAGAACTGCATATTAAGTTATCCACATTTGTGTGCAACTGAACGTTAGTTATCTATTTTTGGGGGACTGGTATACACACCTTCAGTTGGGTTACTTCAATAAAACAGGTGACCTAAGAGATGTAATCTGCCAATATAATTTTTGCTTCACTTTCTGAAAGTATTTAAGAATCCTACTGAAAAAAATGCCTTCAGAAATGCTGTCAGAGATCCCACCAGTGCTCTCCAAACTGACAGTTTTGCAAAGCAATGAGGAAGATACACTATGGATCAAAGATCTTACATTTTGCTCCTGAATTTTCATAGTTATTAGAATCCTTTTAAGCAGCAGTGCTTTGAACAAAGTAACCTAGGTAAGAGACAATTTACTTTCCAATCTTAAGAAAAAATATGGAACAAAGAGCATAAATTTCAAAAATGAAAATTACATCTCAAGCTAGCCGCTCATTATCCACCAAGCTCCATGTGTCTAATAGCAACTAGGATCATTTATGCATGCACAGTTCATCTTTCAGAGCCACACAAGCGTAGTGGTGACTTAGAAAAATATTCCACCAAGTGGGTCAAAAGTACAGACACACAGACTGCTAACTCCTGTTAGCACAAACAGTCTGCAAGTTGTCTTCTAAAAAAAATTAATTTCTCTTTCTTCTGTTGATGTAATTATGTGACCACAACTGATCCAGAGGAAGTCATTTGCTTACATTCATACACACAAACAGTGGCAAAAACTGGAACAGAAATCACCCACAACTTCCCAGACCCACAGGCACAGTTAGCCTATGCTACATTTCTTGCAGCAGCAGGTTTGAACTTGCAAAGCATAAACTAAGATAGAAGGTTAGAGATGCTAACAAGCTTTCAGGATTACCCTGCTCTGCAATAATGCAAGGAATAGTTTGTTCCAGCACTGGCACTGTAAGCAAACATAACCATGAACTCTGTATCAGTAGATTCTTTTTTTTGTGGAAGAAATGCACTTAGGGCCTCACAACCACTTGAGGCCAAGCACTTAAACAATTAACCAGGACTGCTTACACAAGAACACCAATTTGCAGGATGGAGGTTCTTGGATGGAGAATATTTGTGTAACAACTGAAAATCCTCCATCCCGGAGCACGTATTTAACTGATTTGCTCAACTGGGAATGTAATCCCCACGTGCTCAGGGTTAAAGGATTTTCAGTTATTACGCAAGTATTCTTAAAACCTTCATACCAGCCTCCAGATGAAACACATAGGAGTGCCTAGAAATATGCAGGTGTAGGAAAGAAGTCTTGTGAGAGAGAGGAGTATGGAAGAAATAAGAGCATAATGGAAGAAAGAACCTCAGAAGATCTCATTCCATCACAATTTTGGACACAAAATGTTTCATAGAAATTGCTTTTGAAGAAAAAAAATTCTAAATAAAAATGCAGCTCAAGAAAAGTTTCCTCATTGCCCCCTCCGCAGGCTAAACACAGCTTTGTTGAAGAAACATCAAAGCTAGCATGACTAGGGGTCAAGGCAAAGCTGGAGAGCCTGTTTTGCATGTGGTGGACAGCCCGGGTGTGGCACTCCCACAAGTGATGGAAGCCAAAAACCACCACAGGACAAACTAAAGGAAGAGAGCAGTGGAGGAAGCCCCAGGCTGCCAGTGGTTTGAAGACTAGAAGAGTAATCTGCTGAGCTGTTAAACATGCTCTTACATGTCTCCCCGTGTGTCTGTCAGAGACAGGATTCTGGGCTACATGGAGACTTGGTCTAACTCATTCTCCTCTTCTTGTGAGCACTTCTTCCGAACAGTGAATAGAGAGGATAGATTTCCTTGGTTATCTGAGACTGGTATAGGAAAACAGAACAGGAATGCAGCAACAAGCAAAGTGAAAAGACAAGGAGGTTAGTGGATAGGCAAGAGATAAGTACAATATGCTAACCTCAGTGGAAATACACATAATGGTTGCTGAATCATAAGTGAAGATAAGTTTCAAGTTTTCTTTATTAATGAGAAAACAGTCAAGGACAACGTCTTCCCATAACAGCCTTGAATCACAACATTTATAACTGGACTAAAGATGACCCTTCCAAAATTACTTCAGAAAAAGCTAAATTAAACTTACACCCCTTGGCAGCTCACATGAATTTGAAAATTAAGAGGTTTCTTACATATTCAGCTCACTAACACTGGAGAAGGGAGAATTTTGTTTACGATACAGTGTAGCACTGACTTCTCTGCATTCCTCACTATCTGGAACTGGCAAGAGGCTCCCAGTGACCACAGTTCCTTTTGGCAGGTATCTGCTAAAAACCTTTTGCACACTGTGTCCTGGTTTTAGCCAGGATGGGGTTAATTTTCTCAGTAGCTAGTGTAGTGCAGTGTTTTGAATTCAGAAGTGATAATACATTGTTGTTTTGGTTTTGCTGGGTTGTGTTTATCATAACCAAGGACATTTTCTTGCCTGTGTCTCATGCTCTACCAGTGAGAAGATACACAGGAAATTGGGAGGGAGCATAGCCGGGACAGGTGACTTGAACTAGCCAAAGGGATATTCCCCACCATGGCACGTCATGCCCGGTGTTCCAGGCCGGAAGGGGCCGATCCTGGGGGAGGTTCGGGGTGCGCCGGTCCGCGGGTGGTGAGCAATTGTATTGTACATCACTGATTTTGGTTTCTTTTCATTATCTATTGGCATTGTGGCTCATTCTGCTCTGTATTGTTATTAAACTGTCCTTATCTCAACCCACATATTTTACTCCAGTTGTTCTCCTCCCCATTCCTCCGGGTTGGGGGTGAAGAGCGGGGAGGAGGGAGTGTAAGCAGCTGCGTGGTTCTTGGCTGCTAGCTGAGGTTAAACCACGACACACTGACATGGATTTATGCAATACAAGTCTGTCATCACATCTCGCTCAGACCTCTCTGATCCCACTGGCTGCCTGGCAGAAAGCAGCTCTGTCAGATGGACAAGAGTCCTGGGTGGAAAGACATACCTTACCAAAAGTGCTTCATTTTACTTTTAGAAAACTTCAACATAACTACAATGAGCAGTCTAGAAAGCAATCATTATTCCTTACTCCAGTATCCCTGCACATAAAAAAAAAGAAGCCTGAAGTTCAGTCCACACATTCAAAGCTTCTCTTCACACTGGACAGGCACACAGATGTCACAGAAAGATGTGTGATATCCTGAGAATCCATTTCATGCTGCAGTACCATTCTGCAAGGTGGGGCAAGACATCTTGCTCTCCCATTAAAAACTGGATGTGAAAGGTTTGTTGTTTTGGGGGGGAAGGGGAAGATTTTAAATACCTTCAGAAATCATATTCCCACATTCTGAATGTTCAGAGGGGCTGGGTGAGGGAAGTTGTTCTATTTTTCTTTTCAATAAGTCCCTTGTGCAAATCAAGGTGCAATAAAACAAGACTTAGCTCCAAGACAAACAATTTTATCTAAACACTTGAGTTGGTCTATGTTCACACTATAATCACAGGCAAACTGGGTAGAGCAGCAATCACTTAAAATATATTTATAGGAACTGGAGTGGGACAGAGAGAATAATTGTGGGAGTTGTATTCATTGCTCCTTAAAACACACAGGTATAAGTAATACTTATTAAGTATGAGTGAACTCATAAAAGCAGACAACAACCTGCCACAGACAACAAGGTATTCTGATATTTAGCATTTTAGTACAAGGAATAATTGATATATACAAACCTCTTCTTTCGTTTTCTTATTTTCTGCTCTAAGCTCTTCATATTCGCCAATAGCTACAGAAGAAAATTAAAAAAGAAAAAAAGTTAATTTAGCAGCACATCTTCCCAAATTAGTTCTCTATTTCATTAAACTGAAGACTCTTCTGTCTGTCTGCACAGACTTCTTAAATAACATGGGTTATAAACTTCATTAACAGCTTATTAATAGCCTATGAACTAGGTATCCTTCTAGAATTGAAGCAATTAGAAAGTGTCTGCAAGAGATGGTAGCTCCAAACACAATCAATTTTTGATCAATGTAGAGTTAAACAATCTTATTGACTGAGTTAAAAAATTACAAGGTGAATATACTGGTTTGCAGTCACCATTTTAAAGCCACACTGGCTCGGGTTACAGATCAATGCTAGCAAGAATGGTTAATGCAATACTGTTACACATAGGCACCTCCAGAGTAGCTGAGCACCTTTATGTATTCATTTGTTTATTAATGCTTTCTTCCAACAAGAGTCCTATGAGAGGTACTTTTTGTCTTTAAACTCCACAGTGGAGTCAAGAAAAGATAGTATGATTTGCCCAAGATCACACAAGACCTCAGCTGCAGGGATCAGCCTGCAGCAATCTGGAAGCTCATAGCTTCAAACCATTAAATAATACGCAGAAACAATGAATCAGATACCAAGTAAACTTTCAGTTCATTGCATATTTTTGTCTGCCCTTCCTAAACCTTTTATTTTACTGCCTTAGGGACATGCCATCATCGCCACAATTTCCCAAGTCTATTCTTCTTTCAGTGTGTCCCACCCATGTGGGCTGTTTGGCCTTCGAGACCATAGAAATTTTACTGTCACTAGAAAGAAGTTGAATACACTTCCACAGCTTAGAGAAACAAACCTTGCTAGAAGGGAACACTGGTCCTTCACTTCAAGATGCATACTGCAAGAATGAAATGAGAGGGCTGTTGACATCACCAAGCATCTTATTCCAGCCCCTCAGTATCTCCTCAAATCTTGTCCTGTACCTAAAAGAAGCTATACTAGCATACAGGTTAATTAAAACTGTATAAAAGGTATAAACATATATTTTTCAGCTGATAATAGCAAAGATGTTGGAGTTTCCTCTTAACATGTTTTACCCTACATCTAAAGGCATGAACATGCAGAGCCACCTGAAAACCTACTAGCCCTTTCTAGCTTTAGATAGTCAAACTTTTTCAAACAAGAAGCTCTTAGAAATAAAGTTACACTTTTCACTGCTGTGACATCCCCCCCCCAAGGATTTCAAAATCTGTTGAAATAAAACTAACAACTCACTCCTGAAAGCTTGGTCCATGGCATCACTGTGCTGCTTGCCTTCAGCAATTACCTCAGAGGTAAAGCACTGACACTACTAAAATTCCTCTTTCCTCCAAGACCACATTGTTTTAGAGATGTGGTCTTGGAAAATACAGACAGCATTATTAGCTTTTGGGTTAGTTACTCAAAACAGAACTCTGCTCCTTTGTGTGCCCTGAGCAGCAATGGGGAAATGGCAAGACACTGTTGACTATATTAGCTAGAAAGGGAAATGGAGGAAAGCTAGAAATCTCATAGCTACAATTCAGCTCTGCTGTGACCAACAAGTGTTGAAAAATGTCCAGGGGTCTCAGAGAAAAAAAGGCAAATAAAACCACTTAAAGCAAAGTCCGCATGCAAATGCACAGGACAAGTGTTAAATTAAACAGATAGAAAAAATCCTCACTCCTGCCATTCCAAGTAAAAAGGTACATCTAAAGAGTGGAACAAATGAAATCAGGTTGCTTAAAATTGTGCCCTACATCCCCACAGCAGTAAAACCAAGGTCTCCCATACATCCCTTTACTTTGGTCCCATTTTTCCTTATCTACCTGAGATCCTTACCCACCTCTCAGAAAAAAACAACAGGTAGATGACCAGGCAAGACACCACACTGCTGAAATTGCTCCAAGACAGAGCACCTAAAGGGAAACAACCTATTTCCTACATAGGAATACAATAGTTGTGCCTCTTGATCACTGTTCCACTTCCAAGCCATTTCCCTGTTCCCTTCAGGAAAACAAGGGAAGAGATTTCTAGCATCCAGATACAAGAAAAGGAACAAGAACTATCAACAGACACAATTCAAGCTTCTTCATACTGGAAAACTACTGTCTGCTCACCTTTAAGGCAAACTTGTACTGGCTATTCAATACTTTAAGAATGAGTGAAAAACCTAAATATAGCTATGCCCCACTCTTGACTTTTCTCTTCACATGCTCCACGAACAGGAAACTCTGAATCATTAGCCCTCAAGGCATGGATACAAGAACAAGCTCCCAAAAAAACAAGAATACTAAATTACACAACCTCCAACAATCCCCAGGAAGGGCTCACTGGGAACTGAACTGCCTGCTCAGGGCAGCCCTTCCCTCTT